GCCTCTCCTGCACAGATGTAAACGATGGAACACTTTGAATTTAAATCCTCCGTGCCTCACACAGACGGAGGATTGATGTATGTTGTCAGTCGCAGACCGCCAGGTCTCATCGGTTAGTTCTATGCCGGGGAGGCGTGTGGTGCAGTGGGTTGTGCGATGGTTTTCGGATCAGGGGGTCACAGGTTCAAACCCCACTGCAGTCAGCATGTCGTTGTGTCCCTGGGCAAGACACTTCACCCCAAATGGCTCCTGTGGGGATTGCCCACAGTATTGAGTATGTAAGTCGCTTTGGATAAAAGCGTCTAACAAGTAACATGTAATGTAATGCCCATTTCTTCTTCCCAGGCACCCCTAAGGTGGTTAAGGGAGGGACTAGAGATTTCTTGAATAATATTATATAGCTTTGAGATATAGCCTCCGTGACAGTCTTCCATCCATCCACCAGGTGGGGCGGCTGGGAAGGAGGGAAATTGTTTTCTTTTAAATCACAAATTTGTAAATATCTAAAATAATGATTCCTTGGGATGTCACATTCTTTGTTCAAAGGATGTGAATACCCCTTCGTAGAACAGATCAGCAACACACTTAAGTTCCTTCCGGGACCACAGGTGGAAAGCAGAGTCTACCAGGGCTGGTTTGAAAGCCGGATTGCGAACTATGGGGATGGAGGAGATAGTTTGTCGATATCCAAAATGCCTCCTGAACTGTGACCATATCCTAAGAGAGCTATTGACCACAGGGTTGTTCGAGTGGTATTTTCTACTAAGTGGTAAAGGAGCACACATCAGGGAGGCAGGGGCCAGTGGTTCACACAAGTGTTGTTCCATGCTAGACCAAATAGGACCGCCCCCTTCCCGAAAATGACTCATCCAAAATGCAATTTTATGGATATTGGCAGCCCAGTAGTAGTGTACAAAATTAGGTAGTGCAAGACCCCCCTCTGACTTTCTCTTCTCAAGAAATAAAAGAAAACCATTGATGGTTTATGTGTGTGTGTGTGTGTGTGTGTGTGTGTGTGTGTGTGTGTGTGTGTGTGTGTGTGTGTGTGTGTATGTGTGTGTGTGTGTGTGTGTGTGTGTGTGTGTATATGTGTGTGATAAACTGTTAACCTGGGACGACCTGAGGTCCTTTTTCATAAAACTTCATCTGCTCAGAGGCAGTCTTCAACACCAGCTACCTGCAGGAAACCTGATCCCCCACACACACCTGACTCCCACACACACACACACACACACACACACACACACACACACACACACACACACACACACACACACACACACACACACACACACACACACACACACACACACACACACACACACACACCTGACCCCCCCACACACACCTGACCCCCACACACACACCTGACCCCCCCCACACACATACCTGACCCCCACACACACCGGACCCCCCACACACACACCTGACCCCCTCACACTAATGGAAAGAAAACTTCCAAAAAACACATATAAATGGTGTTTGTTTTACTACCATGTCTGAATTCATCTATAGATTTAAAGCTAATCTGCATTTAAACATAATATTTCAGGGGAAATACTGACTTGACGTAAGTAACTATCTGGGGAAGTTGTGAGGTGATGTGTTTTTTTTAGGGCTGTCAGTCGATTAAAATATTTAATCGCGATTAATCGCATGATTGTCCATAGTTAATCGCGATTAATCGCAAATTAATCGCACATTTTTTATCTGTTCTAAATGTACCTTAGAGGGATATTTTTCAAGTTTTTAATCCTCTTATCAACATATGAGTGGACAAATATGCTTTATATGTTTGTTTATTATCATTTGAACAATGACAAATATTCTCATGAATATTAAACACAACAACCTGAACATTACAAATATTCCCTTCAATTCAACCTGGAACCTCTCTCATACAATAATACAATACTGTGTGTGTGTGTGTGTGTGTGTGTGTGTGTGTGTGTGTGTGTGTGTGTGTGTGTGTGTGTGTGTGTGTGTGTGTGTGTGTGTGTGTGTGTGTGTGTGTGTGTGTGTGTAGGGTTGGGAGGGTTACTTTGTAAATGTAATCAGTTACTGATTACTGATTACATGGCTCTGAAAGTAATCCGAATACAGTTACAGTTACGTGTCTTAAAAAAGTAACGTAATCAGATTACTTTTAGATTACTTTTGGATTACTTTCTTTTTCCATCACAGATGGGTATGTTTTGGTGAACAGGAGACACAAAAAGCAAAAGGAAACTGAACGTGTTTTTACTGTTTTAATGGCTTATCAAGAGCACAACTGAAACATAACATCTGAAACGATGTAACAACATAATACACTTTTTGGGGATGCAGCTTGGGATGTGAGGAGTGAGGGACACGTCTGCCTTGATCTATGAATTCATGTCCGTGACTCTCACAGTATCTGCTGCCCACAGCTGGTTTATAAAACCTCCTTCACTTCATGAAATCTCTGCAGCACCAGGAGGCAGCGGGAGGGTGAACTCAGCCTCTGAGAAGAGGAGCGCGCAGTGCCTTTCACGCACCGCCTTCACTGTGTTTACCTTCAGAAAGAATCATTAGAAAGGCTAAAGAGCGACCGCAGGCTGATGTGTTTTAACCACACACACCTCTACACACACACACACACACGATTTAAACGCAGACTTTTGTTCCTCCATGTTTCGTTGTTATTGTTTCACTGAGCGGACCCGCACATTTTTTTCAAACGCTCCCTTTTTTGGTCCATCTGCGGCGATAATAGGTTTTGTGCGCTGTGATGATTCGGCTGTACCTTTAGTAATGAATATTAAATGTTGTGAGGAAATCTTACCACCAATAATTCCAATATGTATTCCAAAATGTATTCACTTCAGGTTTACGAAAGTAACTGTAATCAGATTACTCGTTTTTCAAATGTAACGCGAGCTGAATACAGTTACTTGATTTTTGTATTCTGACTACGTAACGCCGTTACATGTATTCCGTTACAACCCAACCCTGCGAGTGTGTGTGTGTGTGTGTGTGTGTGTGTGTGTGTGTTTGTGTGTGTGTGTGTGTGTGTGTGTGTGTGTATGTGAATGTGGAGACACTGTGATGGATCGTTGGAGCTATGTGCAGCTCAAGGCATATATGCTCGAACGGGAGCTGCCTGGACGCTGCAATCATGTTGCGCGCACTATCCGTGCTGAGTGTGCTGACTTTTCGTACAATGTCCCACTGTCTGGCTACCTGCATAAAGTCAAGTGCTCGGCGCAGTTGTCGGCGAAATGTCGCTCCTCTGTTTGAATTGAAACAGCTCCTTATATCCGTTAGCGCAGCTAGCTAGCACCAGATGCTAACAACAAGAACACCAACACGTAAGGTGTGCCTCGCTCGCGCCACACATACACACACCCTCCCGGTCCTCCCGATGGCCAGTCCGGGCCTGCCGGTGAGCGTGGAAGTGTGGTCTGCCACAAGCGGGCGGCAGGAGCGGGGCTGTCAGCATCAGCTTGTAGATGGTATTTTAAACTCGATGCGCTCTGAAACTACGGGGCGGCCGAGGACAAAAAATACACATGCGTTAATCGCGTTCAAATAATTAGTGGCGATAATTAATATATATTAATATTAACGTGTTAACTTGACAGCCCTAGTTTTTTTGTTTGTTTTTTGTTTTATCCTTTTCACCTGCAATGCCTTGGTAACTGCATGCAAATTAGCGCATTTTAATTAAGCCTAGTTAACGCCTAATTTCCATATCAATGTGGCGATTGTGATGACGTTATTAGATACACATTTTACTGTATTCACCTTTAGTGTCAGTCTCCCCTTAAGTACAGTACATTAGCCTGTATGCCCATGATAAATTGCCTTAGCTAAACCTTGAACTAACAACTTATCTATTAGCTAGTAGCCTACCTTAGTTAACTATATTTGTTTTTGTCTTATGGCTAATTAGCTGTAAACTCGAGGCACTGGCAGCTTAATCATGTCATCACCACTCACCTTCAAACAAGCCAAGAAAAGCCGGCATAACATGGGACTGTAAAGTGGGAGGTGCTGCTACCTGTCTGTCTGAAGGGACTGTAAAGTGGGAGGTGCTGCTACCTGTCTGTCTGAAGGGACTGTAAAGTGGGAGGTGCTCAAGCCCACTTTGATGTCTATGTGTGCACGTGCCTGCCCCACACACACACCTGACCCCCCACACACACACACCTGACCCCCACACACACACCTGACCGCCACACACACACCTGACCCCCACACACACCTGACCCACCCACACACACCTGACCCACACACACACACCTGACCCCCACACACACACCTGACCCCCACACACACACACACCTGACCCCCACACACACACACCTGACCCCCCCACACACACCTGACCCACCCACACACACCTGATCCCCACACACACACCTGCCCCCCCACACACACCTGACCCACCCACACACACCTGACCCCCACACACACACCTGACCCCCACACACACACCTGACCCCCCCCACACACACACACACACACACCTGACCCCCCCACACACACCTGACCCACCCACACACACCTGACCCCCACACACACACCTGATCCCCACACACACACCTGACCCCCACACACACCTGACCCCCCCCCCACACACACACCTGACCCCCACACACACACCTGACACAGAAACCTTGTAATATAAAAAGATCTTAATGTAAGAACTCCACTGGTTTCATTGTCATATCTGTTTTGGTCGTCACCATCTTGGTCGTCACCATCTTGGTTTTTGGTCATCACCATCTTGGTTTTTAGTCATCTCCATCTTGGTTTTTGGTCGTCTCCATCTTGGTTTTTGTCACAATCTAGAAATATTTTGGTCACCACCATTTTGGTTTTCAGACCAAGAAGTGAAGGTTAGGGTTGTAAGAGGAGAACATTGACCCAAGTTGGATTTCAGATCAATCGATTGCTGGTTTTATGATTTTAGATGAATATGTCTTTTTTTTCATCATGGACTCAGTGAGCGGTGACAAGGTTTGTCAGTTCAACATTTATTAGCAGTATGTACACATGACAGTGTGAATACAGATCTCAGATCAGCAGCTGGTTTAATGTGTCTACAGACAGACAGGCAGACAGACAGACAGACAGACAGACAGACGAACAGGTTAGAGCAAAGTTTTTATTTAACCAAATGGAGCCAACCAATCAGGAATGAGCGGAGAATAATACACAAACAGGAAGCAGAAGGTAGAAGTTCAGCTTGTTGTTGTTGTCGTCATGGCAAATGTATTGTACACTGTAGGCATGGCTCTGATTGAGAGAAAACACAAAATCCCCAGCAAGTTTATTTCACTAACTTTGTTCATGCAGATTCTCCTGTTAGCATTAGCATTACAACATGCTAATGCTAACTTTTTCCATGATAAAAAGCTCATTGTCTTAATGAAGTGGGTTTCATGGTGATGTCTGTTGGGTGAGTCAATATCAGTATAAAGTAACGTTGGTGTCCCCATCAGAATCACTCATGAAAATGTAGCAGAATAATGAAACTCTGAGGTCTTATTATAAATGGCCAAACATTTACACACATCTCAGTCCAATGATAAGTCTCTTGAAATGTGTTTCCTTCATTTTATACCTTATTTTCTCATTGGATGTACGTGATGTTGGCATGTCCCACACACTGCTCTGCTAACTACAGTGTGTGTAATAAGTGATTAAATGATACTACATTTTTTAAATAATGATATGGTTCTATTGTCCACAACGAGTTATTTGATCAAACGAGTCATTTTGATCATGTATATTCTATTTTCATAATAATATTGAACATGTTGCATGTGTCCCTGACATTTGCTGTCCACCCTGTCGTTAAGGGGTAACTGCCCCATAAAAAACCCTCTGATGTTTTCAGTGACATTATTACTACCATCATGTTGTCTCAATGGAGGCTGAGACAGTGGCTATAGTTGCAGAGTAAACTTATATTTGGTCATTTTAATCATATTATGTGTGTAGTTGTCAAGCTTAACATGTCCACTCTGTCATAGTGAAATGTCAATTCATAGAAAAACCTTTCAGAAATTCGAAATATATTTGTTAAACAGAACACAGTCACCTTGCTAACTGAATCATGTTGCTAACTGAAGGTCCACCATGTGCTCATTACATGCTAATATTAGCCACAAATGTCCACCCTGCCATTGTCCACCCTGTCAGCAAGCCTTCCTGACAGGGTGGACATGGTACAAATAGTTTGCCATAATTTCATTATTATCCAAATACTTTTTCCATTAACTGAAATATATTGTTGAGAAAGGGACTATAGCTTTCTGAAAATGTACATTTTATAATCACTATGTAATTACAAAGTATTTACTCTACTTTGAATTTGTCCATGACAGGGTGGATACATTTAGCTGTTTGGATGTACATTGTCTGCCTGCAATTAATTTATAAAAAGTGTGGGAGCTTGACCAACATCCATTTCTAACAGCAAAACATATATTCAATGAATATGAAGTTCAATGGAAAATCTCAGCTTCTTTTTTGGAAATGGGGAATTCTCAGTATTGACAGATTAAATGTACGTTTCTTCAGTTTTGACAGTGTTACCTGCAGATGGTGAGCATTCACAGTCCACAGTTGGAGCGTCTAAATCCCTGCGTAAAGAAGAAGACAGAGATTTACGTCTGCTTGATGAAATAATGAATGAAATGCACACCTCTCTGCTGATTCTGACGGCGAGTCCAAAAAGAAGTCATTGTGCTGCTGGTCTTTGTGAATTGGACTGTTTCTGCACATTACGTCATTTAACATTGGGCAAATATCTTCATTTGCTTAGCAGCAGTTCACCTTTCAGGGAGCTTTGATAATTTCATGCTCTCTTTTGTCTGATTCGGGGCAGGTTTAGCTTGTGTTGTTAGATCATGGAGTGAAATATAGGGGGACAGGACAGGATCAGTGCTGGGACATTTACCGGCGGCGGTGGTGGAGTCCACAGGTTGGACCAGTTGCTGGTCAGCAGATGGTCCTACAAAAAAAACAACAACATTAGAGGTCAAATCAAAATGTACTCCTGCAACACCACAGGTCTGTTTACATCAGTCATGACTTCATGTCTTCTGTTAATTCTTCCCGATTCTTACCGAATGAATTTCTGAATTCTCATCTTTAACTCTGAACTAATGTAACTCTTTCTTTAATTTGAAACATTTGCTGTCTCTTTGTTTGCAGGAAAACTGCTAGCCTGATGTCCATCACATTCGGAGGATGAGTGTATCACAACCTCCTTTCAAATTCATTGAAACTGTTGAGATCTATACCTATATCCCTAAACTCTTCATTTCATACCAATTCTTTGTCTTATTCAGAGTTGGATCATTATTACCTTTCCAATTGTTTGAAATAAAGTGTATGTACTCTGTGTGCATGTTTCTTTAGGAACTCTGACCATGGTTTAGTTTTACCTTCCGTGTCTGGGTGAGAGTGCTCCGGGTTCCCCTCATCCTTGTCTGTGTTGGAAGGGTCCAACAGGTCAGGGCTGTCATCTTTCTTGGGCTCATTTTCACTATTATTAGCGTCAGGCTTAACGGCTCCGTCACTCTTCTTTTCGTCTGTTTCATCCATCGTGGCGTCATTTTCTTTGATTCCCCCCCCCTCCGAGTCTTTCTCCTCTGAGGTATCATCTCCCTCCATCACATCCTCTCCTGATTCCTTTGGATCCTTTTCCCCTATATCATCTCCCTCCTTCTCCTCCTCCCCGGTTGCTAGCGACACCCCCTCATACGGGCCCTTATCGTCCATGCTATCATCTTTCTCTGTAAGTACCTCAGAGCCAGTACTAGTATCAACACCCGAGTCATTAGAGTCAGTACTAGTATCAGCGCCCGAGTGGGATTCTTTAGAGTCAGTGACGGGCTTAGCAATCTTAGGGTCATCATCAGGCCCGGATTCGTCAGAGTCAGAGTCAGAGTTAGAGAGATGCTTAGCTATCTTAGGGTCATCATCAGGCCCAGATTCGTCAGAGTCAGATTCAGTGACGGGCTTGGCTACCTTAGAGTCATCATCTGGCCCGGATTCGTCAGAGTCAGAGTCAGTGACAGGCTTAGCTACCTTAGAGTCATCATCTGGCCCGGATTCGTCAGAGTCAGAGTCAGATTCAGAGTCAGTGACAGGCTTAGCTGTTTTAGGGTCATCCTCAGGCCCAGATTCGTCAGAGTCAGATTCAGAGTCAGTGACGGGCTTAGCTACCTTAGAGTCATCATCTGGCCCGGATTCGTCAGAGTCAGTGACGGGCTTAGCTGTTTTAGGGTCATCCTCAGGCCCAGATTCGTCAGAGTCAGAGTCAGAGTCAGAGTCAGTGACAGGCTTAGCTATCTTAGGGTCATCATCAGGCCCAGATTCGTGAGAGTCAGAGTCAGAGTCGGAGTCAGAGACGGGCTTAGCTAACTTAAAGTCATCATCTGGCCCGGATTCGTCAGAGTCAGAGACGGGCTTAGCTACCTTAGAGTCATCATCAGGCCCAGATTCGTCAGAGTCAGAGTCGGAGTCAGTAACAGGCTTAGCTGTTTTAGGGTCATCCTCAGGCCCAGATTCGTCAGAGTCAGAGACGGGCTTAGCTACCTTAGAGTCATCATCAGGCCCAGATTCGTCAGAGTCAGAGTCGGAGTCAGTAACAGGCTTAGCTGTTTTAGGGTCATCCTCAGGCCCAGATTCGTCAGAGTCAGAGATGGGCTTAGCTACCTTAGAGTCATCATCAGGCCCAGATTCGTCAGAGTCAGAGTCAGAGTCAGTGATGGGCTTAGCTGTTTCAGGGTCATCATCAGGCCCAGATTTGTCAGAGTCAGAGTCAGAGACAGGCTTAGCTACCTTAGAGTCATCATCAGGCCCAGATTCGTCAGAGTCATAGTCAGAGTCAGAGTCAGAGACGGGCTTAGCTACCTTAGAGTCATCATCAGGCCCAGATTCGTCAGAGTCAGAGTCAGAGTCAGAGACGGGCTTAGCTACCTTAGAGTCATCATCAGGCCCAGATTCGTCAGAGTCAGAGTCAGAGTCAGAGAGGGGCTTAGCTGTTTTAGGGTCATCATCAGGCCCGGATTCGTCAGTGTCAGCGTCAGTGGCGGGGACAGTGGTGTCATTAGACCCAGGTCCTTTAGAGTTGGCGAGTACGGCAGGATTCAGCTCTTCCACTGAGCTGACATCAGCGTTGGTGCTTTCAGCTGCGTTCTCATTGGTCTCTGGGGATTCAAGATTGTGCACACTTGTAAATTATTTATCATGTCTTCTGTACACGTCAGTCTGATGAATCCAAAATAGGCCTAGCCTAATGCTAGCTACAGAGCTAATGACTGCTGCTCTGGATGCAGCATTTGGTTTTGGCTAATTGCTTCAGAACAATAATTAATACATGTGGTTTTGTTCATTAAACTAATGCCCAGCCCTGTTGGTGAGTATTACTGTGCTCAGCCTCAGATCCCAGGGTTACTGTGTACATGCAGCAGAAGTCATTGTAATGCAGTTTTTTGTGGGTCAAGATCAAGCTCTTATCAAGGATCATGTCATGTTGTTTAATGCCGCACATTGGATCTGAATGAACTAGAGCTAAAGACAGGAGACGAACTGACCTTGTGTTTCAGCAGACTCGGCTGACTCGGATGATTCTGAAACAGTTGGAGACAAAATGTTTCCTGGTTTGTTTTCAGGGAATCTAATATCCTCATTCTTTAGTGGGCTGGGTCTTAGCTTTCTCTTTTTTCTTTTTACAGCTATAGAGGTAAAAAGGCCTAAAACCATGAGTGTCAAACAAGCTAAGACATGTCATGTAGGAAAGGAGTCTGATTACCTCGTTCAGAGTCACTGTCAGAAGATTCTGTGGAGAGAAATCAACGTGTTCAATCATCACTCCGTCACAGGTCATACGGATTACACACAGAGGTAGTAGTATCAGCCCGCTGTCCTACATTTGTTTGTTTGTTTGTTTCTGACATTTCAAATTCATGTTTCTCATCAGAGTTTGTGTAGAGAGTAGGACATGGTGGACAGATGAGCCGACGAGACTGCTGTTCAGGTCCTTTATGTAACCAAAAGTCAACCTCACATATTTAACAGACACCATGATCGCTTCCTGTACCAAACCAATACAATTAGTTTCTGAAAAATACCGCATTACAATAATTTCCTATACTTTGTTTTCTAGATATAAAGAATCTTCCTAATTTAACCTAACAATTTTGCTTTCTGGATCCTATAGAAGTGATTTCTTTCTAGAGGTAACCAATTACTATTTATTACCAGACTTTACCGATGTATTTCTCATTCTAAAGTAGTATTGCTTTCTGGATCCTATAGAAGTAATCTTGTTTTCTTGAGGTAACCAATACTTTTGCCTCTAAGGCCTAACCAAGTATCTTTCATTTGTTACCTAACCAAGTATTTCTGTTTTTGAGACTTACCAACAGTTATGATTTACCAAGTAATATGGTTTCAGAGAACTAATTACATCGTTTTCCTTTCGTAGCACTGGCTGAGTAGTTCTGTTTCTAGACCTGACCAGGACCAAGCAGTTTTGGTTTCTGGAGATCTTAAAAAGTAATGTTTGTTCCTAGGCCTCTGCAAAGTAGTTAAACTGAACCAATGGTCCAAAACGAATGTGATTGGATCATGTCATGTTGTTTAACCTGTTAAGCCCTGAGCCTGTTTTTCAGGTCTCAGGCTCGAAAATGACATTCCCAGAACAAATGACCATATCTTCCCTTCTAAAAGGGTTAAATTAATAATCTTTTTTCTCAAAGTAATGATAAACCTGTGAGTTGGATGTAGAGAAGTCAGAATCAATATAGATGTTTTTTATTTTAAAGAAAATTCAGATTTTACATAGTAAAAAACTGTAAATTATAGTGTCCGTCCAAAAATTATTTTGTACTTATAGTGAAAACTACCCTTGGATGATGGGTTAGTAGACTAAAAGCTTTAGGAATCCAAAGTACAACATATAATAAGTACCCTGTATCAAGATTGATGCAAAACAAGTGACATTTGACCTTTTTAGAGAGATTTAGCAAAAAGAAACCACTTCTGGGGTCATTTGGGTGGATTTTCCATATCTCTGGCCCCCCTTGCTCGATTTTGATGGTTGACACCTCTTTCTGACCGTTAGAGCCAATAGAATCGAAGGGGGAGTCCCCCACACACACTCATTGTGAAAAAAGAGTGAAGCTACAGTCTAGCTCTGACATCTAGAAACGTAAAAGCATGGATTATCCGTCTGTTTGCTCATGGATTATCAGAAATCATTTCAAAGGGACACAGACACATTGGATTAACCTATGGATTAACTTCAGCAGCGTTTTTATCGTTTTAATGCCATTGAAGACCACTTTGGAGAGACTACAGAGCCAAGGTAAAAATGTTAGCATTTTTAGCTACCTAGCGTCACCTGTTTTGATGTCCGTTTTTGTTTATAACGTCGCAAATTCGTATAATTCAGTGATAATGAGGGTACCTATCGATTCTGTGTCACCTCACGATGTGAATCGATGTCATGGATGTGGAGAAGAGATAAATAATAAGGTTGTGTGAGTGATCTTCGGTGCAGTAATCTGTTCGCATTTTTCGCTCGTTGCTAATTCAGAGGCTCAGTGTTAGCATTGTGGGTTTTCTTTTGAAAAAATAAATAAAAATGATCAGTTAGATGAGTTTCTTCCCGTTACATGGATATAAAACATTCATAGTTTATTAAATGAACATGCCCTCAGACACTGTTTCCTGCAAGATGTTGCGGCAGTGCCCCGGTACCGGGGTCTCTCGGGCTTAACAGGTTAACCCTGCAGCATATAATGAATTGGACATATTATAAATGCGCTATATGACAGACACATGGGATCTAAGACAGGAGACAAACTGACCTTGAGTTTCAGAAGACTCGGCTGACTCGGACGACTCTGAAACAGATAGAATTAAGTACAATTAATCCTAAAGAAGTGGTTTGGTTTCTAACCCTAAACCTTTTATTAATCGGGTGGGTCTTTCTGGATCGACTGATTTATATTGTTTAATAATTGTTACCAATAACGGTTTAATCGAAAAAATCTACTAGCTCTGTTTCTAACGCTAACCAACGAGTCCAAGTAACGCAGACAGACAGAGAGACAGAGAGACAGAGAGACAGAGAGACAGAGAGACAGAGAGACAGAGAGACAGACAGACAGACAGACAGACAGACAGACAGACAGACAGACACACACAGACAGAGAGACAGACAGACAGACAGACAGACAGACAGACAGAAAGACAGACAGACAGACAGACAGACAGACAGACAGACAGACAGACAGACAGACAGACAGACAGACAGACAGACAGACAGACAGACAGACAGACAGACAGACAGACAGGTTACCTTGACTTTGTTCTTCAGAGGTTGTGTTCCCAGCAACTACTGTGGAGACAGTAAACATTTTTGAACACATTTTAATATACGTACAAACAGTATAAATGTAATATATGTCATATATATTTAGGGTTAGGGTTGTGTTACCATCGTTCAGATGATCCAGCAGTGGTTCAATTCTCTCTGAAACAGCAGAAACATGAACACTTGTGGAAACATAGAATACTTTTTATTTATTAAATGCTAAATATACAAAATAATCTGCAGTAAAAACTGTTTTGTTTTAAAATGTAAAATAACTATGTTTCCTGTTGGACAGAGAGAGAGAGGGGGCTGTCTGTCATCTGTTTGGACTGTTCATTGGACAAAGACCAGCAGTCAGAGCAACAGGACCGACGACCGGCCAATCAGAGGCGTGAGAGCAGTCTAAGCCTCAACATGTGTTCATTGTGTATTCACTGGATTTACCTTTCTGATGTTACTGTGATATTACTGTGATGTTACTGTGATGTTACTGTGATATTACTGTGATGTTACTGTGATGTTACTGTGATTTTACTGTGATGTTACTGTGATGTTACTGTGATGTTACTGTGATTTTACTGTGATGTTACTGTGATGTTACTGTGATATTGCTGTGATGTTACTGTGATGTTATTGTGATTTTATTGTGATATTAGTATTGTGTTACTGTGATATTACTTTGATATTAGTTATGTGTTACTGTGATATTACTGTGATGTTACTGTGATATTACTGTGATATTACTGTGATGTTACTGTGATATTACTGTGACGTTACTTTGATATTACTGTGATATTACTGTTGTGTTACTGTGATGTTACTGTGATATTACTGTGATATTAGTGTTGTGTTACTGTGATATTACTGTGATATTAGTTATGTGTTACTGTGATATTACTGTGATGTTACTGTGGTATTACTGTGATATTACTGTGACGTTACTTTGATATTACTGTGATATTACTGTTGTGTTACTGTGATGTTACTGTGATATTACTGTGATATTAGTGTTGTGTTACTGTGATATTACTGTGATGTTACTGTGGTATTACTGTGATATTACCGTGATATTACTCAGTGGGGTAGTGCCTTAGTAACAACATAATATTTCACATGTAACGTATTATAACATGTATTCTGCTGTTGTTTACTGTGATTTATTTTTATATTTTCTCTAAAAAATATTTATCTTTACAGTTTAATTTTCATACTTACCATCAGCTGCTGTTTCATCTGCAACACAAAAAACACATTTATGTATATTTATTTTTGAAGTGATTAAAATACTTACAGATAGATAGATAGTTAATTCATCCCAAATTGGGAAATTATTTTGTTCCAGCAGCAGTGTCAAGCATTGCACAAGTTACAAATATTTAAAAGATACAATAAGATACTAAATATAATAAAAAATAACATTAGTGGCAAGTATATATAGTAAGAATACACATTTAAAATTTAAAATGTAAATTGACACTAGCAGCAAGTATATTGAAATTCACAACAGAAAAAGACATTGGATTGAATACACATTTGAATTGTACTATATAGCTGATTTCAAGATTTCAATATTTACAGGTTACCTGGGACTGGAGCTGCAAGAGAAAGACCCGCAAAGGCAAGAAGCAGCAATATTACACACCTGTAACACACACACACACACACACACACACACACACACACACACACACACACACACACACACACACACACACACACACACACACGCACACACACACACACACACACACACACACACACACATACACACACACACAATCCAAAGTGATGAACAATCAGCACAATAACATTTCTACAGATGTTTTCGCTTCATAGAGACAAATATTTGAGAAGTTTTATTTTTATGTGTGGCTGCATGAAAACCAAAGGTCTTATGAAGCCAGTTTCAGGAGTGTAACTGAATCCAGATCAATACAATCAAATATTACACATAAAATATAAAATGCTTTTAAATAAGGAAAGAGTCTTCCTGATTAACTCCTTGTTTAACTTCCTGTTTAACTTCCTGTTTAACGTGCTTTATCTGCCTGTGAGCTGCAGGGGGTAGTATTGCAGTACTTGGTGATGTATCGCAGTACTCGGTGTAGTATTGCTGAGTGTCTTTGTGTCCCAGCAGACAGAGGCTCTCTGTTGGACGTATGGAGGATCAGATCAGAGGGGGAGTCGAGTGTCGGCGAGAACACTGAGGCTTTATGTCCAAACTCCACCGTCACATACACATACATATATATATACCTATATATAAATATACGTTTATATTAATATATATATATACATATATATGACTTATTGTATTTACATATAAATATACGTTTATATTAATATATATATATACATATATATGACTTATTGTATTTACATATAAATATATGTTTATAAATATAAACATTCATACATATGCACATGTATTCTAATTACTTTGTATTTTGGAAACCATCACTTCCCTCTGAAGGATTTACATGATCTCAAACAGAAGCTGAAAAACGTTCTTTAACTTTCATCAAACAGATTTTGCGCAGGGATCCAAAAGAAAAGTGATTTAAAATAAATAATTTTGTTTATATATCTTTATATATATTGTAAACTGCCTCTCCATTTATTCATGTTAAGTATAAGATCCGCCTTCAGAAAAATATAGACGCAAATATACCGTACATAAATATACATACACAACACTGGAAGGATTATTACTCAATACATCTGAATCATTTTAATTAAACTGAATACATTACTTAAACTCACCCTCGCAGCATGTTTTCTCTCAGTGGGTCCACAGAAAAACTTTCAGTGTTTCTGAACACAGACCAGAGACCCTGCTTTATACTCACAACTCCCCCTTCTCTTCCTCTTCCTCCTCCTGCTCCTCCTCTCATTGTGTGTGTGTGTGTGTGTGTGTGTGTGTGTGTGTGTGTGTGTGTGTGTGTGTGTGTGTGTGTGTGTGTGTGTGTGTGTGTGTTGGTGTGTGGGTGTGTATTTGTCAGAAACTGAAACTTTGGTTTCTTCCTGAAGTCCTGCTTAAGTCTTTCATCATCATCATCATCATCATCATCATCATCATCATCATCATCATCATCATCATCATCATCATCATCATCATCATCATCATTCTTCTTCTTATTGTTGTTGTTATTATTATTATTGTTTGGGCCCGAGCACCAACACAGTTGTGTTTTATACAATATATAAATATAAATATATATATATGTCCACTTTATTCAGAGTGTTTGTATATTTAAAGTTCCTGCTCACTGCCGACGGTCGTCTCTGGGACAACTTTAAAATCACATTTAAACAACGAAAAGGCGAACCAGAGGTCCGATGAGGACAAACAGCACAGAGACAAACACTGAAGTAAATCAGTCACACTGTGTGTGTGTGTGTGTCTTGGTATGTGTGTGTGTGTGTGTTTTAGCATGCTAACAGCCTCTAATGAGTTTTCTGTATTCAGGTCAGTGTAACAATGAATCACTTCAACAACAGCAGCTGGTTTTAAGATTCAAATAAAAAAATTAACATGAACACAAAAACATTTTCGACAGACTTAATATAAATGTATCCTGTATCATAAATAAAATACAAATATACTTAAAGCAGGGTTTGTTCTGTCCAGTCCAAAACTCCTCTAAAACAGACCCAACAGGGGGGTGGGGGGGCGAACTGCTATGTGTGAAGAAATCTTCCGTCAGCATCACCATCACCGCCACCATCACCGTCATCCTCACCATCAACATCAACGTCAACGTCAACGTCACCGTCACCGTCACCGCCAACGTCACCGTCACCGTCACCGTCACCGTCACCGTCACCGTCACCGTCACCATCACCATCACCATTATCATCAACGTCAACATCACCATCACCGCCACCGTCACCGTCACCATTATCATCAACGTCACCATCACCATCATCATCAAGGTCACCATTACCATCAACGTCACCATCACCATCATCATCATCTTCACCATCATCATCTTCACCGTCACCATCACTATCACCATGACCATCACCGTCACCACCGTCACCATCGTCACCATCGTCACCATCGTCACCATCATCACCATCGTCACCATCATCCTCACCAACGTCACCATCGCCATCATTATCACCATCACCATCACCATCGTTATCATCACCAACGTCACCATCGCCATCATCATCACCATCACCATCACCATCGTCATCATCACCAACGTCACCATCGCCATCACCATCACCATCACCATCGTCACCGTCACCATCACCATCACCATCATCATCATCATCATCATCATCATCACCATCACCATCACCATCGTCACCATCACCATTATCATCACCGTCATCGTTACCATCACCATCGTCATCATCACCATCGTCACCATCATCACCATCACCATTATCATCCACGTCACCATCACCGTCATCATCATCACCATCGTCACCATCACCATCACCATCACCATCACCATTATCACCACCATCACGTCACCATTATCATCACCGTCACCATCACAATCACTGTCACCATCAAAGTCACCATCAAAGTCACCATCAACGTCACCATCGCCATCGCCATCGCCATCGCCATCGCCATCGCCATCGCCATCGCCATCGTCACCATCAACATCAACATCACCATTATCATCAACGTCACCGTCACCATCAACGTCACCATCACCGTCACCATCACCATCACCGTCACCATCACCATCACCGTCACCATCACCGCCACCATGGGTTATGTTTCTTTAATTCATTAACAGTTGATGCTCTACACTTAATTCACCTCACTTAACCATAGACGTAATGAATATATATATTTTATACATTTATACCAAAGGGAATGTTGAACCCTGTAAAAAGCATGGACCATTTATTTATGTAAAAACATCCCAAAATCATGATGAGGTGAGTTAATAACCTGTTAATGAGGTGAGAATATAACATATAACATGTTAATGAGGTGAGCATATAACATGTTAATTGCTATATAACATGTCAATGAGATGAATTACAAACATGTTAATGAGGTTAGTTAATGAC